GGATGTAATGTCCTCACACAACACAGCCCTTCATTCTATGTTCACGGCCACAAGATGCTGGAAACTTGACAGATGATGTCATTTAAGACACATGCCTGCCGTAGGGACCTGCTTTTTGGCTTCCTGTTTCTGGCTTTTATTTGGTTAACATTTCTAATGGCCACCTGACTGGTAGTGGGTAATGATTTAACCCCTTTGTAGAATTCCCAATTAGTCCAAATTTACTACATTTGGGGCCTTCAGAATGGGGCAGGGAGTGTCAGTGCCGAGAACATTTTTTTTGATCACTTTACCACAAGGACATATGGGATAAATACCATCTTTTAGATTTATATAAAAACAGATGAGCACTGCGCGACTTCCAGAAAATATATGATACAGAAAGAGCAAACACAATCAACGGTGGGGGATCGTTTCCTCCGGGTTCCAATACAAGTTTTATGAATGTGACCCAGATGCGAAATGGCCTGATTTGATGGACTTGTAATTACTGTTCCCTATACTTTCCACTCTCTTGTTTTATTAAATAACATTTGTTATTTATGGTACTTATTTAAAGACACAAAATTTATCTATGAAAACATGGCTAGTTAATTTGGGGGGCTTTTAGAGCACTGTGTTTTTTTTTTAAATTAGATTTTCTGTAACTAATTTTTTTTTAGTTATGGCCCAGAATTAAAGATTTAGCATCATATTTCAGAAGTCAAAACGCAAAACTTGGGGTTATCAATGTCGTTGGGCATTTTTTGACTTTGAATTGTTTTTCAACACCTTTATCATTATGTTATTTCAACTTATAAAAGGAGGAGGGTTCGATATGAGAACTGTATTGCTGTTATCATGAGCGAAGTATGGGACATTGGCAAAAATTATTTTTAAAATGCTAAACAAAGTACATAATGAATATTTGACCGACATGTTTTAGTTCACATAACTCTTGACCTTGGAATTCATCGATACTCAAAGAACGCCAGACAAGGTACATATTTCAGTTACGCGTGCTTGCCTGTTCTCTATCAGTCAGTCCTTCACTGGGTCTGAGTGGCTGGTGAGTTGCAACAGACAAACCGTGGCCTGGGGTCCACACCGTCCTAAGCATCTACTGTTGACACCGGATGTGCCCACAGCACAGCTGCCCCGCTGTGCTGGCTCAGAGCATCCTGGAGGCACAGCCCCTCAGTCCCTCAAGCAGTAGGGTGAGAACTGCATGGGGTATAGTTTGCGGAAACTAGCAAGTGCCTCATGCGCCTGGGGAGCCCTGAGCCAAAAGTGCAGAGACTCCAACAGCCCCCCAAAGGAAGCCTTTCCCTTGAAGGGCACTATCTGACATTGTCTTTCTGCCAACATGAAATTAAAATAATAATTAAAACACACCCTGCTGACTGGTGGTGGCATCCAACACAAAAAACAGAACTGTGCTTAGAGCTCAGGAAACGTCCCGTAAAATTGCCAGCTACTGTCGTGCGTTACCCCCTCCACATACACAGCTCAGCCGCCTCAGGGTGACTTGGACGACCAGCTTCCTTGGTCAGTGGGAGTAGAGGAACATGCTTAGGGAATGAAGGGGGTCCCATTAAGGTCCCTTGCTTTGCCCTCTGCCCATACCTGGGTGATCAGCCAGCAGAAAACTAGACCTGGAAACAGCCGGGGTGCTCTGTCCTTCCTAAATGAGAAGACGCAGTTGTCCTTTAAAAGGTAAAATTTGGGATTTAAGGGCCATCTAGTTCTGCCCATTTTGTTGAGACAGAAGCCGACACTAGGAAGAACAGGTGCCTTGTCCAAGGTCACTGGACCCAGAAATGGAGCTGGAGCGCAGATGTCCCCAGTGCCAGGCCATCTTTGTAGGACGCCCTTTATAATCCACCAAGCTCCCTCGGCACGTGCCTGAGTAAAAGTGTCACAGAATAACAACTGGCCTTTATTACAAAGATTTTTGTGGATGAGCTGATGACCAACCCAGGGAGAATATCACAGTTCTGACCTCACGAGTGTGTTCCACTAGGGACCCCCTTTAATCCAACACAAGGATCAAGAGCATTGGATTCTGTCATCTAAACATCACACAACATTTGGGGAGTCGGGGGAGAGAGAAGTAACTCAGTGGAATTAATGTCTGAATGCCCACAATTTAGTTTTAATGCTACAAAGAAGGTCTCACCTATCAAGGGGTGTCAAATAATGAAAATCAAATCAAGAAAAGCTTTATTTTCATGTATTGTTTTTTTTTTCTAGAGTGGCTATAGCTGCTTCTATTATCACCTCTAGAAAGCTGATAACGTTTGACCATCATATTGTAAAAGCAAACTAGCTAGAATCTGAATTTGCTCCCCTGAAATGGAATTCTGAGTCCCGCAGACTCGGGGATGTGATCGGTGGACGGATGCGTTCTTGGCAGTGGGGAGCACAGGGAGGTGAGGGGGTGTGTCTGGGGAGAGGCACGCTGGGTCCCGCATTTCATGCTCACATGTGGCAGAATCGTGTTCTGTACAAATGACAGGTCATAATTAAGACTCAGAAACAAGTCCTTCAGAACCACACGGCATTGAACATTCACGTCTTTCTACATCACTTCTGTCTTCCTCGAACGCATGCATAACAAGCGTAAACTTTCGACTTCACACGAACAAATCCTTTCCCAATAGAAACAGCTTCCCTTAACATTGAAAAACCCTTCCCGGGAACGGCAGCAGTGACAAGCCAATCTCGTTCTGTACAAAACCTCATTTCTCACCGGGGACCGGACGGGATAGCGGGCCCTCACTACATTGTCCGAATTTACATTTGAAAATTGAATTGTCTCCTTGAGGGTTTTTTACTCAAAGTAACTTTTGGAGAATTCCTTACATTGGGCACATCCAGGTAATTGGAATGAGACAGAGCTGAAGGAGCCCCCTGTCCCAGCTCATTCTCTGATCAGTAGAATTAAAAGGGCTATCATTGTCATTATTGAAGAATATTTATTGTTTCAACTTTTACACATGCTTTATGTAACACCTTGGAACTGATGAATTTGATGTATTAGCGTACAGTGTCACTAATTTCACCTCTGCACTATTACATAGAAAAAGACGGTTGATTTCCATTCTAGAGATGGGACTGCGTATTGAAATAAAGCACAGGCAATGACTCCCTGGATTGCTGAGCCCCTGGTCGCGCAGAGACGGGGCCCATGGACAGTTCTCAGGCCGAGGCTGTTTGCACTGGGGCGGTGCTTCTCCGACGTCATGGCTCCCACGCAGCCCCTGCTGCAACACAGGGCCCGGCGCGGCAGGTCCACAGCGGGGCCTGGGAACCTGCATTTCCCAGGCAATGCCCAGCCTGCTGGTCTGCAGACTGGACTTTGAGTAGCAGGAGCTGGATCAGAGCCTTTGAAAGACTCCCATCTTGCAAAATGCTGTTTTACTCTAAGGCATTTCTGAGCCAACGGGAGGCTCCCTCTGTATGAATTTCCAAAACCAGCACATAGTTAGTTGCCTTTTATCATCACAATGTCAACTTCTTTAAAAGGACCGTCCATGGGCTGTCGGGGTACTATGGTGGAAACTGTTTCCACACAGTCCTCCTGGGGCAGGAAGGACATTCCCGAGGGGTACAAGGTGTACCGTAGGGTGATTCAGCTCAGGTGACCCAGACGCCCTTTAACTACAGGCAGATCATAGAAGGACCGGAAACTGCTGGGTTCCTCCCACTGAGCTGGCATGCTGCTCCTGGGAGTCAGAGGACCTGAGATCGAGTCCCCTTTCCCAGGACCTGAGATCGAGTCCCCTTTCTCCCACAGCACTGGGGAGACTTGGGACCCACAGGAGCACAGATTGCTTCTTTGTCTCTTTTCTGTCATCCTCTGTGGAGGAGCTAGAACCACACTGGCCAGAGCAAGGGAAGCACCTGTGGGAATGTCCCAGCCACGTACTAACGTGCCAGTCCCTTCCCCTCTCTGCCTTTGGAATGACAGAGGCACAGAGGAGACTGGAGACCGTGTGGTCGGAGGTGT